GGAAAAGGAGATGACTTCATATTTTGGTGTACATGAAGGCGGCAGCCGGCTCCTGCTTATAGAGGAAGATCTTGGGTATCTTCCGCCCTGGTACTCATATCCACTTCCTCTGTCTGGGCTGCGAAAACTTCGCTCATATGTGACTCGGCCGGAATGACTTTTTTTTGCCCCCCCCTGTATAATGTGCTTCTGTTAGAGGAGGCCTTGTGCATGGCGCAGGTGACGGAGGTGGCATTCACTATGTTGACCACAATTTGCAAGATGGCACGGTTGTGAACAAAACAACAGAAAAAAACAGTCAATGCCTCCAAATAAGACACTCTTCTGACATCGCAGTAGTTTTCCAGCCAGGGCACATCGTTGTTGGGGATTCCCCAACAGGGGGGGGGGGTCGTATTTGGTCGCTGGGATAGAGGGGGGGGGTCGTAATAGGCTGGTACTGTATAGCGAAACTTGCTTTGTAGAGAACCCGGATGTGTAAAAAAATAGTACAAAACTTTCATTAACTGAACTAATCCAAATTAACTGGAAACATTAATAAGTTGGCATCATTTCGTAAGTACATAGATGACTAAACAGTACATCTCATACCCTGGTTCGCTGCGGATGATGGGGCGTGTCCGAGCGACCGCGCTTGGTACGGCGCCAACCTGTTTTTTTTTTTTCGACAAACGACAAGACTACCATATCGTTCGTATCAGACGTTTTCCAGCAGTTGGTCTCCTTTATCGGACTTAGCAAGTGGTGGAGCACGGATCTGACGGCGTGCGGTTGCCGTTCTCCGTTGCGGATGATGGGGCGGACACGCCCCATCATCCGCAACGGACAAGACTGTAAGCAAGTGCGTAGGTTGGCCATGGACCTCCCCAAATCCTACAAACACATCTGCTCGCGTAGACAGGCATTGCGTAGAACTTGCACCATCCCACTACCTCTGCGTGGGAGCATAAGCATGGCGCATCCAGAAATGAAGCTAATGGGCGCTAAACTAACTACTGTTTGTTCCTATTCCACGAAGGGATGCATTTTAGATGCATTTCTGGATATCCGAATACGCCCACTTGAAACGGTACACAGAAAACGGCGTTTTCGCGCTGCTCGGAGTGTTCCTCAGAAAATCCCCAACGCGTTTTTCTCATGAATCCCGAAAACTTCAGAAACAAGTGAAGTGGTTATTGGGAAGAAGGGAATCCTCTAGTATTCGACGCTGGGTCCAGATTTGCAAACAATTAAGTTTTTAGAAGATTATATTCGTTCAAACCAGGACAGTCTTGGTCTTTTTGCATCCAATTTTGAAAATCCCCAACCCATCCCCAACGCTGAATTTCTCTCTGAACTTGGCAACCTTATAAACATTTCAGTACTTTTGGGAAGCCAAATCTTTTTTTACACGACTGCGTTTTCGTCTTTCCTAACGGTCTGCATTAAAGAAAGTTATAACCCTTCAAAGACAAGTTGGTTTACTTAAGGGGTCTAAAAAACGCGCCCCAACGCAAAGCGCGGACGCGGCGTGCGTATTCGGTATTCAAATGGCATGGCTGCCAGTTCTTCCCGCGCGCGCGAATTTGAACACAACAGTCTGTAGGTTGGAGCACAGCATCCTGTGCGGTGTAGATCAACACAGCGATTCTCTTTACCAGGAGTTTCCGAAGAGGGTGAGGATCCCTAACTCGCTCACTTAACACGCAGTGGTAGAAAATAGTGAAAAATCGTTATAATTTTGAATTTCCACCTTTAAAGTCGGGCCTTATGGTTTTCCATCTTAACTGGAGTAACACATGTATTAGAACACCGGAGTTCATCTAAACTGAACTGTAAATAGGGTTTGCTGGGATGCTGGGATCCTGTTTGTGTACCTACGGAATGTTTGAAATTAACTAGTACAGAAATTCTTCGGCTGGGTGATGTTCAGTGCTGGAAGGTGCTCAGAAGCCAGGGGAATTTTTAGCTTGGCACTTGTTTTCTTCCACGTAGGTGTTGGAAGAAAACGCAAATAAAAGGCAAAAAACAACGAACCTTAGAAGGGGGGGGGTCATATCGATCCGCATTTCAGAGGGGGGGGGTCGTACGGACTCGACCGAAATCCCCAACCAATTATGTGCCCTGTTTCCGGCGCTAGAACGAGTTTTCCAGTCTGCTGTTTTCATGCTCCAAATGCATTTTGTATTTCTGCTTGAAGATTTGTTTCTTCTTTTGTTTCTTTATTTTTTTTCGTTTTTGCCATTCTAGCAGCTGTTGCCAGCTGCAGTGACTTGTTGTGCTAGTGGTATCATGGCTGCAGTCAACAGGAAAGACGCATGGTTTTGTACGTACCAAAATGGGAGGGAATAGCCCTCACGATAAAATTGAGAACCCTTTGTTTCTTTACCTTATTGCTGCGCCATAGTGATTGCCGATAGCGGCACGCTCTAGTCGGTTGTGTATGTGAGACTCATGCTCGGAAAGAAAGTCTTGGTGGGTAACTTTTTTTGTGCAGAGTTCATTTTCCTATGACCTCAGAAACAGCTAACTATATGAGTTACTCCTAATTGTCAGTTACATTTGCGAACGTGTGGGTAAGTCGTGGATATCCGTAGACTACAGCGTGGGGAGATGATATCTTGAGAACACACGGGGTCTCTGTTGGGTTCTGAGAGATTTTTGACTGTTCGCTGTCGAAATGAGAGTAGAGACTGGAGAATCTGCTTTCAGATAAGAACGAGACTTGAACGTGTTACGGATGATAGAGAATAGCGCATTCGCTGGTCTATAGCTCATTACTTGTCGTTTCTGCAGTATGTTATCCATCGATATCATGTTGGAGCCACATGTTGACACGGTGTCCACGCCTGTTTTTTTTTCGTTCCGTAGCTGAGGAACGTAGACGGTGGTAGTCCTGCCCTCAAATCAGTAGATCCCAGTATCCTCCTCCACATAGGCAGCACCGAATGCACAAAGCCTCTTTCTGTTAAGCACATCGGATTTCATTGCATCATTTGCCTCGCGTGGTTTGTCGCATCACTCGATACGGAAATAGAGGAATCGAGTGCCTTCTTTCCATTCCCACTACTTCTATCGTCTACGCCCAAGCGGGTGCTTAGTGGGAAGCTTTTGCTTCATGTGAACTCTGAAATTCACATTGGGCTCTACGTGGTCAACGCGTAGATCGAAGTTCTAGATCCCGCCGATTGATGGTATTTGTTCGTATCGCACCAGTCGGTATGGTCGTCAGCATGCTCATCAGTTCGGTTCAGTTCACACAAATTTCCACGAAAGAAAGTTCGCATAAGCCCGCATAAAGTTAGCTAATCGTCCTGATTTCGTGCAGTTGAAAATTTCAGTTTCAAATTGACATAAATGAAAATTCCTGCATGAAGGCGCACGACTCTCATAAGTCTGGCCTGGTAGGTGCGTGGCTGTCAAGGAGAGCATGTTGATAAGCGGAAAAATATATATCAAATACCCTGTTCAGTGCGTGATAAAAGAATCTGTAAATACATGTGAATACTGTCGCTTAAGCAGTGAAACCCCGGTCAACATCGGGCACGAAAGTTCTCTCCTTCTAATGATGAGACTCGTCCGTCAATGATGAGGCACTGAATTTCACTGGTTTTCCTTAGCTTGACTTCTTTAGCATCGTGGATTTTCCGAAAACTAGCAATTTCTCACAGGGTTTTTTCAACCAGATACAAGCTGAGCTGGAAGCTGTAATTACGTGTTATAGTAGAATATCTGCCGTTCATGCGCCCCACAAGATACTAAACCAGGAAGTTTTATGGGTTTACATTTACATTACAAAGTTCCACTGACATGACAACCTTAAACAATGTTTCGGTAACCAGTAGGCAACAAATACAGTAAAGACAAGAAATACTTTTGTTTATTTGCAGCTGAAACCTTGGACGTGAAGCACAAACCTGTGGGTAGAGAGCCAAACGCTATCAAGATGACTGAAACTGAGAAGAAAATTGCCGCTATAAGAAAGAAGTTAAGAGACGTGGAAGCGCTGAAGGTCTGCTCTTTTCTTCTAGGTTACGGTCGCAAGATTGTTTTTCAAGCTTCGCCTCGCCAACGGGGAACAGCTATGTTTTTCAAGGCTCGCCTCGCCAACGGGGAACAGCTACAGGGAAGTCAGTTGGAGAAAATAGCAAAAGAATCTGAGTTCCTCAGACAACTCGAATCGCTTCGAGGCACATCATAAGCGAACCGGCCAGCATTGGAAATTCACTATCCGCCCGCTATTCGAAACGTTCGTCGTGATATTCTTCGAATATGCCTTTGAACATTGCAGTTCTTTCTTTGTGTATTTTGTCATGATGCTGTTCCCTAATTCGTGTCTCATTTACTATACTGAATAAATTGCTTGGAGAGAAACGTTATTTCAGAAGTACTCTCAGAAACCATTCGTCATAATCGTTTTCAGTTAGAACCGTGGCGAGTACTTGCGCCCTTGTAACAAGGTGGTTTGCGGAGTGGCAATTGTTGCGTTCTTTCAATGGTTACTGTTAACAGCTGTTTCACACGAAATGTCGGTGAGTGGCTGCGGTGTCGAAGCATAACTGCGCTCAGATCAACAACAACATCTAACATCGTACGTATAGCGCTTACAATAAAATTTTCGCTACTCCGACTCCGAAGACTGAAGAAATATCAGTGCATGTTTTTTTTCATTTCCCGTTTTTTCAGCTGTCGTTTATCTTCTCATAATGTCATTGTGACATTTTGTGATACACAAGATGTACGAATGCATGTACTAATGATTTATGGGGGGGGACAGCCCCCCGTCAGCCATGCGCCATCTTTGGATAGAGCGACGGTAATCAAGAGTTAGTATTGCAAATGGTTCTGTCGCTTTCAGAATAGAGACTTGAACTTAGAGAAGAAGAATTATCCGCGAAGGCTCCTGTAGATGAAAGCAACGTTCCGAAGGAAGCAGGAATAGGTGACTCTATTCAGGAGTAACAAAGAAGACGATCGCTACTCACGTCCGCTCCACTGACCAATTGACCACACGACTCGAGGGGGGGGGGGGAGGGGAGCATCTATCCCGTGTACCCTGATCGCTCTGATCTTACCCCATATAAATGTTGTTTATTCCGCTTCATGGTTCACTTTGGCTGAGTTATAAAATTAGAAAATGCTCAAGGAAGTTCTTTCTGAGTATTTAATTTCCTCGGCTCAAAGCCAGACAAAATGTTAGAGGGTCAGAACGACTTGCGGCAGGAATGGCAAGTCGTCGTATGGATGATAAGGCTGCCTGGATTGACTTGCTAAATGGTTATTTTTATAGTGAATGTTGTTTTGTGATCAAATCCTCATTGATGTTTCCTCGCCCAGCATAATGGTGATATTTAAGCTCTCTGTTCATGTTTACAGGAAGGGCGATGGAGTGAATCCCACATGGCCTTCCATTTCTCAGTGATTACTTTATTCGTCATTGTGGCTATCGTCTGTTCGTTTTACCTATCAGAAAAAATAACCGGGTAAACAATCCAGAGCATGATAGTTTGTTTCATCACTTCCTCGCACGAATCATTGTTTTTCGTCCACGCCGGGGCTCATCAGTGAGGCATGGTTGACATGACAAGGACGACACAGGGAACGAGTTGACGAGAAAGAAAAATAGGGGAAGTTGTTGTTGTAGCTGTTTATTACACAGTAGCACTGTGCGGTGCATTGAGCAAGGAAGAAAAAAAAGGAGTAAAAATAACACGTTGCGGAGCATCAGGAAGAAGCAAGAACTAAATAAATGTTGTGAACGAAAACAGCAATAAGTGATTCCTTATTGGACTGACCCGTGGAGCTCCGACGATGTTCTATTCGCAAAGAAATGGTGTCTGGTATTACGTCTAACTCTGCGAGCTACACGTTTCTTAGAACGGTCCGTGCCACTGGTTTAGTCCCTGACGGTTGGAAGTGTTGGATCGGAGAACAGTGTGGAAGTGAAAAATTCAAAGAACATTATGAGGTCAAACTTTTTCGTTCTGAGGGGTAGTGTCTCTATATCGAGGTAGAGGTTACGCACACTGGTAGGTATTTAGTCATATCTGAACCCTACTATTCTCAAGAAAACCGAAGCTATTTTGCATCTTTTCTGAAGTACTGATACCTCTTCTATAAGAACTGTAAACCATGGTTCCATACTCCAGTATAGGCCTGATGTAGGCCTTATAAGCTTTACATAAATGGGGGAACCCTTGTTAGTAATGTTCGGACAGTGCTCATCAAAAATAACGTCACTCCGAACACGGAACCCTAGATCTCTGATCTCACTAAGCTCATCAAGCTTTACTCCATACATTGAATATGAGGAACTGATATCGGCTTTACTTATGCTAAGGACCCTAGCCTTCTCACTGGATAATGACAAGCTCCAAGGCATAGCCTAAACACTAACATCATTGATAGTCTTTTGCAAGAGCTCTTTGTCTTCATTAGATGGAATCGGATGGTATATGTACTTCAAAGTCATCAACACACACCTACTCCGGACGACAGTAGCCACAGTAGTTCAAATATGAATATGTTAAAGAGGGTTGACGATAGAACCCCCACCTTGTGGCAAGCCGCTAACCGGTTAAGGCGCAGGAATTTCCCTAAAAAATGCCTAGGATGCACACCGACTAATTTAAGTTTGGTTACGAGCTTTGAATGAGCCACTCTTTCAAACGCATTCGCAGTATGGAGGTCATCATCAAGGTAAGCTGTCCAATCGTTGAGGGCTTGCAGCATGGCGGTCACAGTTTATTTACCCTTCTGGAAGGTATGTTGATGTTCTGAAATGATTTCGTACTGATTCGAGTGAGCCGTGATTCTTTTCTTCAGCACTTTTTCGAACAACCTGGCAAAGATGGATGTTATGCTCACGCGTCTGTAGTTGAAGGGGCAAGTATGTGAAGCTTCCTTCTCAATTGGAGTAACAAATGAAAAACGCCTCTTTTAAGGCACTTTAGCTCTCAGAAAGCTCAAATTAAATATTAGGGTGTTGGGAAAGTTTTGAGAAAATTCGGTCATTTTATTCAACACATATTAACAACAATTAAAAGCGAAAAATCAGTAATTAAAAATGGCCCTTCTTAGCCACGACGTCTCTCCACCGACTGGGCAGATCATCGATACCTTCCTTCCAGAAGGAAGCAGGCCGGGACGCAATCCATTCATCGACCATACGCTTGACATCCTGATGGTTGTTGAACATCTTACCCGTAGCGTAAGCCTGGAGACTCCTGAAAGCATGGTAATCACAAGGGCTAAGGTCAGGTGAATACGGAGGATGGGGCAGCCATTCGATTCCTAAATTCTCCAGCTCGTCCCTTGTCGCCTTCGCATGATGTGGTCGGGCGTTGTCCATGACGATAAACTTGCCCCGGTATTGGATGGGAAACTGGAGCTCGGGACACCAGCTCTCGTAGTTGCTCACAGAATATCGATGATGTTACAGTAGTACCCTCATGAAGAATCTCATAGTAAATGCAGCCGGTGGAGCAGAAGAAAAACGAGAGCAAGTCCTTCTTGGCGTGGCAGCCTCGCTTTGGAACGGGCTCCTGGCTTTTGATCCAACGGCAGCCACTCCAGTTTCCTATCCGGGTTTTCGTACGAGATCCACTTTTCATCCTGAGCAATTATGAAGCTCGCCCAAGTCGTCGTTCTTTCTCGATCGAGGAGCTTTTGGTATACATCGACTTTCGCCGCACGTTCGCTTGCGGTAAGACACCAGAGAATAATTCCGGGCAGAGCCGCGCGGAAGCCTTTTTTAGAATGTCATGAATAGTGGATCAAGGAGAAGTCGTCCTCTTCAACTCCCTCAGACTTTGGGCAGGATTGGCCCTCACAGAAGCCAGCACGATGCCAGTGTTGGAAGAGGGAGGGCGTCCGCATCGAGGTGCTTCATCGAGGCTAAACTCTCCCATTGCGAAGCGATCGTACCACCTGTAGCAGGTTGCAGGAGAGGTCATTCACTGACGACAGCAACTCATTCCTCGCTTGAATGGCGGAGCGGCCGGAACGGTAAAGATGAAGTAGGATACGTCGAGTGTCGTGTCTGTCGCACATTATTCGATTGGATGACAACAAAGGCTAATGACGAAATGTAATATCGATCAGCTGCTGATTTGATCTACAGACAATCCTCTATCTTCCCATGTTTTGATCTACAGATTTGCTCATGGCCTTCGCGCGCTACGCTTTTTCAAAGTGAGGCAGCGAAATTTTCTCAAAACTTTCCGGACACCCTAATATAAACGCAAGTGGCCCTGAGATTACGTGTGCCACATCCATGATGAATTTTAGAGGGACATAGCCAGACGTATCAGAAGAGATTTGGGCTATCGAACAGTAACTTGCATATTTTTTCCTTATAAAACCGAGTCGATTCGCCCAGAGGAACTAACATCTTGTTCCGCAGAATCATAAGCTCAGCTTTACACTTACCCTACTGTATAAAATATGCTATGTCCGTGTGTGTATGCGTGTCTGTCATGAAATTCATAGCACCTGAAGAAGAACTTGGAGGGTCGGGTCATGGTGGGGATGGGTAGGGCATGAGACAAAATGAAAATAGCACCTGACCCATGATGAGCCCCGCTACCTCGGTCCCAGAGCAGTCCCAAGATGGGGAACAGTGCAATAAAGTTAACAAAGGGCTGACCGACCAAATAGAGGAGACACACCCGAAATAGGCGGGACGTAGGGCGGCGCTTCCCGTGTCACTGAAAAAGCCATAATTTGGCTACAAAGCAGCTCGGAGACGGGAAAAAGTGGAATAAGGTTAGCATTGGGTTGGCAGAGCAAATGGAGGAGACACACCCGAAATGGGCGGGGTGTACTTGAGATGGGCGGTGCTTCCCACAAAGGTCGGTAACTCGGTTCTCGAAAGTTTCAGAGATCGCAGAAAAGTCCATGACGAAGATGAACATCTGGCAAGAGTCCACCATGTTTGCGGCGCTGAGGCCCGCCCACAGTGGGCGGGGCGTGCATTTGAACACGAGGTACCAGGTTCAAAAAGTTATTCGGTCCTAAAGCACTGCAGACGGCGCGAAAAAAGTGGATTATGGCTCCCCAAGTGATCACATGCTGGAATGTGCGAGGCACTCCCGTTGTGGGCGGAGCGTGCGCTG